CAGAAGTGAGTTCATCATAGTATCTGCAGCTTTCTCATTTCCCCCTTTCGATCAAGATCTTTCACTGAAAGCCTCACTGATCAATTAAGTTTTGTTAGGTTTTAAGTGTCCCTAAGTGACAGGAAGAACCTTTCCCAGTTAATTGGCCTTTTTCCATATTGACGGGAGGTGATGAACAGCCAGAAGTCAGTGTTAAGACCCTTTTAGTCATATTTTGGCAACAAGCAGGCCAGAAGGAGAAGCTCTCAGACTTAGTTTGTCTGGATTTCATCCTTAAATTTGATATTATCTTTCCATAGGCATTGGCTATCATCTCGAGGAGCTGGACTAATAATATTCTAACAGGAGTTGTATTTCTGTAAAGATTTGACAGACAACAGGCACACAGTTTAAAAAGAAGAATACAAAGCATATATTACAGCAATATGACAATCCTAGCTTTCATGTTTTTGAGCCATGAACCTAGACTTAAAGGCAAACAACTAAACAGATCAAAGGACCACAGAGAACTGTGTGAGACTTGTAGCCAAGTGGCTTCTTTTCTTATTTTATGTAACGGAGTCTGAACTTTCCCAGAGGAGTTTCTCTGAGTACAACATATAGCATTAGCAGTAGTAGCACAGCCACCACCTTGTTCAGCTAATAGATAAACAAGAGCAATTCTGTTATCTAGCGCTTCCCTTGCAAGAGAAGCTAATGAGCAACAATAGCCTTTGCAGTGGAGTCTGCAAGAATTCTTAGTATATCAGATACATTTCTTATCTTTTTTTTATTATTATTAGTGCCTACACCATACAAAAGATCTGCCAAAGGAAGCAAATCTAGAGACCCATAAACACCAAGTAACTCATGTTTAACTCTTTATTGTAATGAGAGGGTAATGTTGTAATTTAGCATAATAATTATTCCAGTGGTAACTTTTAGATTATTATGTATTGACAATGGAGCAGTCAAATGTTCTGATATACCTTGGCTTCCTGTTTTCCAAGGGTCTAAACATTGAAAGCTGATATTGAGATATTTCACCTGAAAAACTACATATATTCAACAGGAGCACAGGCAATCCTTCCATCTGTCAGATTTTTGTACATGCTAGAATTAAGTTAAGCATTGGTTATATTAATACATATTGCTAATAATGCTCCCTCTCAAAATCAGTACCAATAATTTCTTACATCTGTTATAGAGACTCAAAGAGTTTTCCCCCAGGACAACAGACTAGAAAATGCAAACAAGGGTTTTATGCTTGTGGAGAAAAAATAAAATAAGAAATAAAAATTAGGAAAGGGTATATAGGCTGCTCCAGATATCTCAGAAAAAATCATCTATGTGGATGTTGTCTACTTCAAATTCTAGATATTTTTAATCTTAATTTGTTGATAGAAGTGCAATTCCATTCAGGAGCTGATGTTTTCTTTAGATAAAATACATATAGCCATGAATCACTTCCTTTCACCTTGGCAGGCAAGGGCTGCTGAATAGAACCCTATATGGGCCTTTCCAGTGAGCTTGGAGGGACAGGTTTTTTTTTTTTTTTGTAAATGTAGACAAAATCTCCTGGTTGTAGTTATGGGATTTGAGGTCTTTGTCTCTCGAGAGCATACAAGAGAAAGATTGTTATAATTTTTACTTAATTGTATCTTTAAAATATTGAAGAATGTCACTTTTTATTAATTTTGGGTCAAAAGAAGTTGGGGCAACATACATAGTTTGTCCAGTAATTATCTTGAATGGTGAGAATGTATGTGTACAAAGGAAGTGGCCCTTAAATTCAGATGTACTATAAGTAGGGCTTTTGGCCGTGGCAAGTGTAAGGTTTCCACGAACTTTGTCAGTTGGGTTTTAATAGTACTGTTGATACATTCAACTAGTTCAGGGAACTGAGGATGATAAGCACAATGAAAGTGCTGGGGAAGGATAGCACACACTTGCTTTATAACTTCTCTGATGAAATGAGTTCCTTGGTTGCTGTGGTATCTGAGGGGGTTTCCTTAGGTAGGAATGATCCTTTCTAATAACACTTTAGCTACTGCTGAGGCAGTGGTTCATTTGTAGGGGAAGCTTCAACCAATACAGAAAAAAAAAAAGTTAAATAGTATTCTCATTATCATAAAAGTAACACATGATGACATATAGTTCATAAGCCTATTTGATTACAAAATCTTTGTTCTTACCACTCACTATGCTACCTTAGAATGAGGCAGGATTTCTCTAGCCCAGAGATTTGATTCTCTCACTTCCTTTGTGAGTTAAATCATTCTAACTCCTGTGTCAAGCCTAACAAGAGCTACAACAATCATCTGCCAAGAGCTGCTCCCCTTGGATCACAAGAGACAAATGTTAAATATTCAGGAATTTTGCAAGCAGGTCAATATCATGTTGGTAGCCTGAAATCAGCCAGGATGGGAACAACTACATTTTGGGAATCAGTAACTCTGCAGGTCAATCCCCCAAAGCTAGTTATTAGATATTCATCAGTTGTTATACACCCCTGGGTATAGTCCTCTTGAAACTCAACTCACAGTCTTGACTGTGGTTCAAGTCATGACATTAGGCCTTATACAGCTGCACTCAAGTTCTATATACTCTATTGTGCTCTATTCCTCTATTCTTCTGAACTCAGAGTTTTATGTTCCCTGGGTCATTTTATTTTTCCAATGACCCTTCATATTCCACAGCTTGGCAGTATAGTTGGGGGTGGTTTGATAACATATTATTTTATCGGAATTTGTGTGATTATAGGGAATACAGAGGAAAAAAAGTGGGAAGGAAGACAGGGATAGGCACAGGGAGAGCAGCCACCACAAATGCACAAGTTTGAATTTCATGGAAGTAGAAGACCACTTACACTAGAAATTTGGATTCAGCTGTGTTGGGTTTAAAATATTTACTTAAGCAACATTTATTTTATCAATTTTATCCTGAATGCACAAAAATATCATGGACCAGAGGCTTAAAAAAGTTACTATTCACTTTAAATCAGTAACTATTTTGTCCCCCCACAGGTGATTCTGACCCTACAACAATGCAACGAAGACCAGGAAAAATGCCCTAGGCAAACAAGATTTGCATCATAGGCAATACACAAACAAAAATATATTTTCTTTGCTTATAAAAGCCAAAGAGAGTATTCCCCACCCCCACAACCCCCACACACTTCCATCCTTCTGAGAATGTTTCTCTACAGACTAATGGGAAATGAATCTCTCCAGGAAAAAGATAAGGCCATTGTCCCAGCTTTACAAACCTGGAATGTCTCAATACTTCTGGAGTTAGGTAAATCTCTCTGTAGTTCTCTCAGTAACTACCGTGTTTCTCCGAACACAAGACCTACCCTAGCAGGATTTCTAAGCATTTGCGCATTATAAGCCCTACCCCGAAAATAAGACCTAGTGATGGGCGCGGCTACACAGCATAACGCTACACAGCATATCTGCACAACCCATGCATTTCCTCATGGAGCCGTAAAGAAGACAAGCGGTCCTTCTCATCTGCCCCATGAGAGCTCTATTGCTGGACATGAGAGATTGGGGCCAATGGTTCTAAAGGAAATAGAGTGGCAAGAAATTCAGGATGGAATTTGGGGTTTGGAGAGTTATGATGATGTTCCAGAAGAAGACGACTTAACTATATTTGAACAAATGTAGATTGTTGTACCGTACTTAACAAAAATAACACATTCCATGAAAATAAGCCCTAGGGTGTCTTCTTGAGGAAAAATAAATATCAGACCCTGTCTTATTTTCAGGGAAACATGATATGCACTTCTAAATTAACTTTTCAAGGCTTGTCATTAGCCCAGCATCAAAAAATTAAAAAAAAAAAATATTATCCAGAAATCTTCAACTCAGGAAAATAACAAAATATTTTCTCTGTACCCCATAGTATATCAGGAATCTAAGCAGACAGTTGAGAGGAAGGAGGTTCCAGGGTTATGGAGTAAGGTAAATTTTTTAAAAAATTCTTACAGGGGTTTCTGAAGATGGGAAGTGCAAGAGGCATCAGCAGCTCACACCACCCAGTGTAAAGACAGAGCACATGGAGAGCACATAGTGTCTGTTGTCATCCTCCACCCAAAGGGGGCAGCACACAGCTGACAGGGAAAAGCTGCAGGAGGACACTTCACTGTAGCTAAACCATTCCTGGTGGGAAAAGAAAGGAGGAGGGAGGTGGAGGACTTTGCTGTAGATGAAGATGGAGGTTCTACATTGTTTTCCTTTTAACCTTTCACCATAAGGAGGTTAAAACCTCATACCAGGAAATGTAATGACACTAATAACAATGACAAAATTCTTTTGTACAGTGTTTTATAATTCCTAAAGTGCTTTAACATACACTTTCTCCTTGGTTTTTCACATGAACATTCCTGTGAGATAAGTGTTAGGCAGTCTAAAAAGAAGGGCTGCTCAATGGCAAATTAGGAGATTTTCACAGAACACACAGCATTCAAGGCAGGTCATATCTCAGAAACACTTGACCTAATTATCTTTCCTTTTGTTTTCTCCCAGATCATGTTTATTATATCATATGTATGGATAGTGCTATCTAGTATTACTAGGTGTTCCCATTGTTGCTGAATAAAGTTAGAAGAAGGACCTTCCACCTTTCCCTAATTTGTATACAATTTGGGGGATTATTTTTTCTAATATATATTAATAATAGATGTTGGATGGGATACATAGAGAGATAAAATTTAAATAGCACAGGAGAAGTTTTTTGTATGTCAATTTTATTTTTGTTTGGTAGAAATTGAGTTATCATGTTGTCATTAAATATTGAAGAACTCTATGGACATTTAAATACTACTGTTTATATCTGTGAACACACAGACTTTCAACAACCTATTTCCCTTTAAGATAAAAGACTTATTCTATTTGAGACATCCCAATTTCATGAAAAATGACTTGTTTCCATAGCAAGAAGAGTGTCTCCTAAATGGTGGCTTATGTGTCACCTTATCTTCCTTTCCTTTGAGAATACACAGAGAGGTCAGGTCATCCTCAGCAACATTTTACTTTTGGGGAAAACACAAGGGCCACGCGTTCACGAATCTGTTTGGTTTTTACTCCATAGATAATTGGGTTCATCATGGGGGGTACAAGAACGTAGAGATTGGCCAGCAGGATGTGGACATGCTTGGGGATTTTTCGGCCAAAGCGCTGAGCAATGACAGTGAAAATCCCTGGAAGGTAGAACATGAGGATAACACAGACGTGGGCACCACAGGTGCTGAGTGCTTTCATCCGAGCATCATGGGATGGCAGCCTGAAGACTGCTCGAAGAATGAGCCCATAGGAGATGACTATTGTCACCATATCTAACATAACACTGAGTAGTGGCACAGAGATTCCATACCAAATATTGATGGTGATATCAGCACAAGCCAGCTTGGCCAGCCCCATGTGTTCACAGAAGGTGTGGGCAATGATGTTTGTCCGGCAGAAGGGCAGACGCTTCACAAGGAAGACAATGGGGAAGACGGTTGCAAAACTCCTGAACACCACAACACCCCCTATTTTGCCAGTGACACTGTGGCTAAGAATGGTGGTATACCTCAGTGGGTAGCAGATGGCCACATAGCGGTCAAAAGCCATGGCCAAGAGAATGCCTGACTCCACGACAAAGGCAAAGTGCATAAAGAAGAGCTGAGTGACGCAGCCTCCAAATGAGATGTCTACATCATCCAACCAGAAGATGCTCAGAGCTTTGGGTACTGTGGATGTGGATAGAACCAGATCCCAAAAAGCCAGCATGGAGAGGAAGAGGTACATGGGTTCATGAAGACTGCGCTCTACCGCCACCACGCAGATGAGAAGACCATTTCCTGATAGGGCCACCAGGTACATCAGGCAGAAGGGGATGGAGATCCACATGTGCAGCGCCTTCAGGCCAGGAATGCCAATGAGAACAAACACATCATAACTGACAGTGGAGTGGTTGGGAGCTGACATGCCAGAATTATGGGGTACAACTTTCATCAATTATCTATTGATGTGGAAAGAAAGTAGAGAACCAGTCTGTCAGAACCAAGAAGCACATATTTATTACCTCTCAATTGGCTCAAGCATCTATTGTGTGAAATCTTGGTTAATGAGTCCCACCTACTCTGCGATGTTAATTATGAACCTAAATATTTGCAGTATTCTGCTTTGAAGAGAAAGATTGCAAAAATTCAAAGTGGGATGGAAGAATTTTTAAAAGATACTTCAAAGGAAAATCCTGAAGCCAGTACTATTTTCTCCAATAATTGGCATAAATTTAAAATGGCCATCCAAAGTTGTAAAATCTTTAATAATATAAGGTGTATTATCTGACTACACATTTTAAGACAGAAATGAAAATTATGAATTTTTATAAGGAATGTAAAAATTAATAGAAACCAAAAGTTTTTCTTATTGAATTAAACAATTGTGTTATCTGGAACACGTATTTACCTAGTCAACTGTTGAATTGATTACTTAAGCATCTTTGAACACCTACTATGTGTACATAGAAATAAACATGTGCATGAAAGGGAAAAATTAATTCAAAAGCTTTTAAAACAGAAATCTTGCACATATGGTTATAATGTATATGAACTATGGTTTCAATATAGGTGTTTTTCCATTTATCTATAAAATAAACTCTTATCCATCATTTACAGATAACTTTTGTTTTGAATTTGAATAGTGAAATATTTTATTAAGTTGTTAAGAACTCCCCCTACAGTTAGGGATCCTGGTATTTGAGAATTGGTGGATCTACAGTGAAAGCACAAGATGAGTACTTTTCCTGAGATGCAGGATGAGACTCTAAAGTCCACCCAGATTATTAAAAATATTATGCTTCTATCACACTTTTCCTTATTAAAATATCAAAGCTTCCTTACTTAAAAGAAACATTATCAGAAATAAGTAATGAGCAATTATCAAAAATATAAATCACTGATATAATTGGATACATATACCAACCACTTCTTACTTAAAAAATCACTTCTTACTTACTTAAAACCACTTAACTTACTTAAAACTTACTTAAAACCACTTCTTACCAACCACTCTTCTTACTTAAAATAAATGTAATAATTTCTTTCTTTGTCAATTTATAATTCATTAATGTTTGTGTGTGTCAGAACTTAATTTGAATGAAATCAGTAAACAAAATTTTTTTTGTTTAGAAAACACAATGTAGTGACTTTCCTTTAATCTTAACTTCCAGTGATTTTTGCAACAGACACACCCATGCTAAATGGATTTCATCACTGAAAGAGGAATGTACAATGGAATATACTATACTCTCTAACGAAAACAAAAATAAACTACCCAGACCTGCCATCATTTTTAAATAGGCTACAAATTAATGATCTTTATTGAAAAGGAAATTATTTTATTATCAAAGAAAACCTAGTTATTCTGTACCAAGAAAGAATGATTTATACAAAAAGGTAGTATTAATTATTTTCACTTCAAAATTAATATCATCTAATATTTACTATTTATTGGTAAATTTAAAAAAGAATTGAAAAAGCCACTTACACATAGTGTCACTGTTGAACAATAGAAATAATGTATATGGATACATATGCGTTGATAAGATCTTTAGTAGATATAACATTGCAATAGCAACTATTATTATGTCTTAGTGAGGAACTAATGGGTGATTTTGTTTTATTTCTGTCCTATCAATAGTTTCTATTTTTCTATTATGTGGAAAAATTATAGTATTATTTTTATATTTTCAGACATATGGTAATGATGTCATGAAGTTCACTTTTTTAATTAAATAGAATGCTGAGAATTTTAGACTTTCATTAAAAGTAGTTTAATTCATATCCCCAAAACTTGTTGGAGTGTACCCACTCTGTATGTTCTCCTAGGTAACTAGTAACCTAGTTTTCTGTTGGACTATCTCCAGACTCATGAAGCCTCTGGAGTTGTCCTTTGATTTTCAAAAATATGTTGGGAAGTCTGGTATCTATTACTGTCACTTGAAATATTGGTTGGTGAGATTAGTTGGCATGAAAAACATTAGGGAGTTACATTTACCAAAAAATCGCGATGTATGTAGAATAGTATATATTCCTTTTCACTTCATACTAAAACATTTCCCTAGTAGTTCTTAAAATTAAGAACCAAGACATTTCCCGTTTTTCCCGTACTTACAAATATCAATTTACTAGGCAAAACAACATCTCTGATATGGCATCTCAAGTTCTGAAAATGGTAGAAACTAAGTGTGTGAGCCCAGACTTCATAGACAGGCAACCAAGAAGTCAAGGTCAAGGTCTAGCCATTCACAGGAGGGGAGAATTGAGAAGCATCCAAAGAACTCCTGTCTTCCCTAACCTATCATGAGCTCTGCTTACCCAGACCACCTACCTGGGAACATCCCAGATCTGGAGTTCTACCTTGGGTTAAAAGATTAGAGTACTCTCTTAATACAGACCTTCTTCAATGCCTGCATCATTAGGGAATTCCTGAATGCTAGTGTTCATGTATGCTCCTGTGAGGGGAATACTACAATTAAATAATCACAGCTGCAAAATGTCACTGGGGCAGGCTCAGAGAGTAAGTTAAAGAGGTGGATATTTTCCCTGGGAAAGTGCACATGAAGGCTGAAGGCAGAGAGAAATTGCCAAAGGAAACCAGGAGGGAAATTCAGATTCAGAGAATTAAAATATTAGAAAAGGGTAGTCTAAAAAGTACACTCTAAAATAAAGTTACTTACTTTATGTCTTGTACATGTGGCCAGCCCACAGACACAGGAATTGTTTCTTTCAATATAGGTGGTTACAGTAACTCTTATGTGTTTGTGTTTAAGTACACCAGGAGTTTTCTACTTGCTACCTGTGTAACCCAGCTTACACACATTTGTCCATCCCTTCAGCCACAGATGGGAGACTCCCTACTGCACAGAAGGCAGGATGAGCCTGAAGGCATTTATTGCTCCTGGAAGGACCCAAGGGAGTGACCTCTGGGACTTGGTGCCTGGCCCTGCCTCTAGCTAAACTGCAGAAAGGAACAAGTGAGTGAAGAAAACAATTCTTTCTCTGCTAAACTGGTAGTAACATCTTGATTGTGTAGTGAACAGTGAGTTCCTTAGAAGCACCTAGGGAAAAATATTAAAGGAAGCACTTGAGACCCAGAAAGTGAGTGTCTCCTTCCTTAAATACTGAGTCCTAGGCACCACACTGGCCTCTCCCTAGTTCCAGCCCTAGAGGGAGCATTAGTAAATTCATTCCAGTACTCTTTGGCAGTGCTTCATCAATCTGCCTGGACCACAGTGGAAGTTCTCAAATTAATTTTGCTGTCCATGAAGCCTAATTCCCAATATCTCATATTTCATTCCAGTAACAACTCTATATGATAGCAAGAATGAGCATTTCAACCTGTCAATTTAGTTCTGTCACACTCCCAAGTAAAACTTTGTTAGTCAACCCACAAGGGGCATTCTCTGTTGCTCGCTGCACAGAAAACTAATACTAAGACAACAAGGATTATCAAGGAAGAAAACATATTTACTGTGGAGGATGGATCCAGCAGGGGTAAGGGATAGGAAGAATGCACTGCCTCAAATCTGCCTCCTCAATTAACAGGATCAGGGGTTTATCTGGAGGTGAAATGAATATTGCATGAGGCTAGTGAGCATCATTACATGTTTGGGGGGCAGAGTGCATGTCACACAAATGCAGTAAGCAATCACAATATTACATACATCCCATGATCCAAAACTGGTGGCAATTTTAGTAGTACAATGATCTAGGGGTTAATATAAGTAATTTGTTCAGTCTTGTACTCAGGGAGATGTGGAGAGTAGGCTGTTTGTGGGTCCTTAGGCATAATTTGTGATGGGGTGTTGCTTATCTTGTCTATCCTGGACAAACAGATGTTATAAGGCCTTGTAGTTATCTTATGGATGCAAGAAGGTTCTGCCATTTTCAGGAGAAAACTCAATAGGTAATGCATCAGTGCAACAGAAACTTACAAAGTTCTGGTCAGCAGATCTTACAGGCCTGGGAACTTTATGCATAAGAGAATTACAAAAAAAAAAAAATACTACTAAAAACAACCTCCTGAGGCTCAATTAGGAAGAAATAGAACTCCTGAACAGACCAATATCAAGCACTGGAATTGAAAAATCAATAAAAATTTTCCAACAAAAAAAGTCCCAGATTACATGTTTTCACAGATGAATTGTACCAGACCTACAGAGAACAGGTACCTATACTTCAGAAATTATTCCATAATAATGAGAAGTAAGGAATCTTCCTCAACTTATTCATAGAAGCCAATATCACCTTGATACCAAAACCAGGAAGGGACACAACGAGAAAAGAAAACAACAGATCAAAATCCCTTATGAATATAGATGCAAAAAATCTCTACAAAATCTTAGCAAACTGAATTTAGCTGCCTGTGAAAAAAAATAATTCACTGCAACCACGTGGGCTTAATACCAGAGCTGTAAGCATCGTTCAACATACACAAATAGAGCAATGTAATTCACCACATATATAGAAGCAAAAACAAAGACCATATGATCCACTTAATAGGTGCTGGAAAAGCAATTGACAAAATTAAGCACACTTTTATGATAAGAACCCTTAACAAAATAAGGATAGTTGGGGCATACCTCAAAATTATTAAACCATAAATGACAAACCCACAGCCAACATCATAGTGAAAAATTGGAAGTGTCCCATTAAAAGAGGTTAAGAGACAAGGTTGCTCACTATCACCACTTCTGTTCAACAAGGTGATGGAAGTCCTAGTCTAAGTAATCAGACAAGAGAAGGACATCAAGCATATCCAAATGGTGAATGAAGAGGTCAACCTATTACTCTTTGCTGACAGTATGTTATTATATCTAGAAAACTCTAAAGTTTCAACCAAGAAACTATCAGCATTGATAAATAAATTCAGTAAAGTCTCAGTTTTCAAAATCAATGTACCCAAATAATTAGCTTTTGTAT